GTGATGTGGGCAGCATCATGATGTGGGCACCATCGCCCTGTGGGCAGCATCGCGCTGCGGGCAGCATCGTGATGTGGGCAGCATCGTGATGTGGGCAGCATCGCGCTGCGGGCAGCATCGTGCTGTGGGCAGCATCGCCCTGTGGGTAGCATTGCGCTGTGGGCAGCATCGTGATGCGGGCAGCATCGTGATGCGGGCAGCATCGTGATGCGGACAGCATCGTGATGTGGGCAGCATCGTGATGTGGGCAGCATCATGATGTGGGCACCATCGCCCTGTGGGCAGCATCGCGCTGCGGGCAGCATCGTGATGTGGGCAGCATCGTGATGTGGGCACCATCGCCCTGTGGGTAGCATTGCGCTGCGGGCAGCATCGTGATGTGGGCAGCATCGTGATGCGGGCAGCATCATGATGTGGACAGCATCGTGATGTGGGCAGCATCGTGATGTGGGCAGCATCGCGCTGCGGGCAGCATCGCGCTGTGGGCTCCATCGCGCTGGGGCACCATCGCGCTGCGGGCACCATCGCGCTGGGGGCAGCATCGTGCTGTGGGCAGCATCGCGCTGCGGGCAGCATCGCGCTGCCGGCACCATCGCGCTGTGGGCAGCATCGCGTTGCGGGCAACATGGTGCTGTGGGCAGCATCATGCTGTGGGACAGGGAAGGTGGATGAAGTTTGCAGAAAACCTGCAGGAGAGCTGAAACTGGAGAGGAAGTTCAGCTTCCAGCAGGAAAATCAGCCAAAATATGGTTCTGATCAAACTCTATTATTGTGTTACAATGGCCTAGTCAAAGTCCAGACACCTGAAAATATGTGGTAAAGTAATGAACAGGTTTCTAAGGTTTGTAAGAAACAAATAGCAATATTTCTAATAAAAAAGAAATAATAAATGTAATTCTTTTATGAATTTATGAAGTAAAAGGTGAATTTTTCATCCTGATTCTGATTTCCCGTCTTCGCTCTCAACTGAACCAGATCCCTGCAACTCAAAACCCTTTCTGTTGTTTTTTTGGTCAGCCTGACCTTTCACCTTTGCAGAGAAACGGTGAAGTGAGAAGTGAACAGAGGCAGCAGTGTCTGGCAGTGCTGTGACCTTTCACCTGCTGATCATGTGACGCTCATCAAGACATTACTGTCCTACCTTCTGGGAGAGTCCTCTCTTCCTCCTGACATCACTTCCTGTGGACAGGACCAGCAGGGACAGCAGCAGCAGCTCCAATGCGCCTGGCATGCTCGCTCTTCAGACCGTCCTCCTCCTCTTCCTCTGCACGCATTTATCTCCTCTTCCTCCTTGTCCCAAACTTTCCAGCCAAAGCGGCGGATCCCGGCCTCGCTCCCTGCTGCCGGTCCTGAAGGCAGCGACGAATCACAAAGCGGGACGCGGAGACAGAGACGGGGAAAGTCCAGACAGAGAGAGGAGGAAATGAAGCAGCAGCTGTCTGCATCAGAGAGCCGCAGCACTCTGCTGGCAGGGGGGGCGACCCGGGGAGGGGCAGCGACTGCGACCCGCCCCACCGCTGCTGCTTCTGGAGACACATCATGAGTTCAGCGTGTTGGACGCCTGTCTCCAGGGAGATAAAGTCTTCATTTTAACTGTTAACCATCAAAAAGCAGCACTGACAAAAGTACAAACTACAACAAAACTACAATAAAATTACAAATTACAACGCCACATTAGAGCCAATGTAGGCAGAAAAAATGGAGGATTAAATTTTCACCAAAAAAAAAGAAGAAATATTTAAATTAATCTCAGAAATTGACTTAATAAAACTTGAAAATTTTCTTTTGGAAAATTTCTAAAGCTTAAAAATCATAAATCCAACTTTTTTCTTTCCAATTTTTTTTTCCCTGATTTTGAAATGTCTGTGATTAATCACAAGTTTTCCAGAAATGAAAGGATATTTGGACCCTTTGGTTCAAATATCTGAGACACTTAGAGAAAAAGGAACGTGTAAATCTGAGGCAAAATTTTCTGAGTTTCAAAAGTCCAAAAGTTTTGTCAAGTAAGTTTCTGAGATCTCAGAGATTTTCTAGAAAAAGAGGAATGTGTGGGAAGGAATGTGTAAATCCTCGTAGAGCCAAAGTGTTAAAGTGGAAGATCTGCTGCTGTTCTCTACAAATGAAAAGCAAAGCGAGGTTTTTAAAAAATAAAAACTTTGTCTCCACCTGTGCTGATGTACCAGATTTGTGTTATGAAATAACTCCAGCTCTTATTTAGAGGCAGTAATTTTTAGGAAAACATGCATGTTGCCGTGGTAACACATGCAGTTGTGTAACGTGTTTGGATGGGGGGTTAGTGGCAGTGACCCGAGCTAAACGGAGGCATGTGCTGCGTTTCAGAGGAAGGGGCCTCACTGGGTTTCCCTTCTCCAGTATCTCTGAAGTTGCTTTTTCTAAAAAACTAGGACAAGCCGCCCCCCACCCCAGCCCACCCTCTCTTACCCCCACAGCTCGATTTTACCCCACCGCCTCCCTCTGAAAGGAGGGAAGGAATGTAAGCCTGCACAAATCTCAGTCATTATTAGCTTTCCAGGAGCCGGGCTCCTGTTGCTGGGAGGCCCCGGCTCCACCCCCACTAACCGAGTGGAGCTGGGGGGAGGGGGCAGAAAGAGGTGGGGTGGGGTAACTGAGTTTCATGACGGTAGCAGAAAACATTGCTACTTTCCAGAGCTCTGCTATTTGTTGATTTACAACGTTAAACTGTTTTTATCATGAGAAAATTCTTCATGTCAAATAGGAAGTGAAGCTCAAAGCTAACTCTGCTAACCCATCCATCCATCCATTGGTCCATCCATCTGAACATGCTAACATGTCCAGCAGGCTACATGCTAACATCCCAGCATGCTAACATGTCCAGCAGGCTACATGCTAACATCCCAGCATGCTAACATCCCAGCATGCTACATGCTAACATCCCAGCATGCTAACATCCCAGCAGGTTACATGCTAACATCCCAGCAGGCCACATGCTAACATCCCAGCCTGCTAACATCCCAGCATGCTACATGCTAACATCACAGCAGGCTATATGCTAACATCCCAGCAGGCTACATGCTAACATCCCAGCCTGCTAACATTCCAGTAGGCTACATGCTTACATCCCAGCCTGCTAACATCCCAGCAGGCTACATGCTAACATCCCAGCCTGCTAACATCCCAGCAGGCTACATGCTAACATCCCAGCCTGCTAACATTCCAGCAGGCTACATGCTGCTGTTTTACTGTAACACAAAAGATAAAGGAACGCCTCAGAGATTAAAGCTGCAGATGGAAAATCGTTTCACAAACTGAACATGAAAGCTGAGTTGTTTTCCTCTCTGGAGACGAAGACGCATCGCAGCTTTTCCTCCAGGAACAAAACGTCTGGAGGCCTCAGCGGGTTCCAGATCACTGGATCACAGAAAACATGGCTGCCCCACTGCAAAGCAGACTGGGATTTATTTAGTGGACATAACAAAAGAGGTTTATGTGTCAAAATGTTTAGCAGCTGATGCATTGATCTGTATGAGACAGTTTGAAGTTTGAAATCATTACAGCCTCATTCAAGTTTAACAAAAATATTTGCACTACAAAACCCAAAACCAAAACTAAACTAAAAATATCTAGATTTTGTGAAGTGTGGGAATGTGAAGAACTTAATGCAAACAATTTTAAACAAAGTTTGTGGAAGTTTGTGAATTTAGCCACAGTTTAAAATGAGAACAGAGAAATTTCCTCTCCATCAGGCTCTTAAAATCCCTTTAAATCCAGCAGCTAAGTCAATGTTCAGAGTTTATAATAAAACAATAAAATATCTGCGTTTACAGTGCTATAAATTCACAGCTTTGGTTTTCATTTGCAAACTTTGAAGCTGGTTGGTGTAATAATGACTTTCCGGCAGTTTGAACTGCTGATGACATGTTTATGACTTGTTTTTGCAAAGTGGGGGAGAAAATACAAAATTAATGCAGAACAAACTAACTTTGGTGCATTTTTCATCCTAAGATCCAAACCCTGCAGCTTTTTCAGAATTAAAGTCATTTTTCAGGAAAGTGGCATGTTGACGTTGAGCTGGCAGTCTCTCACTAAACACAGGATCCACGTCTGCACATTCTTTAACCTTTCAACCATGTTTGGCTCAAGTTATTTATTCTAGCTCTGAAAAATCACCCAGAACCCCCAGAACACAAACATTTTCAGAGCGAGTCTTTTAGCGGTCGGTTGTGTTTGGAGCAGCGGGGCTCGGCTGCGGAGGCGACCCGCTCGTTTGTTCTGCCAGACACTTGTTGCAGAGTTCAGCGGTTTTCGTTCCCAGCAGGTCTTCCTTCGTAATTTGGTTTTGGTTTATCCTTAAAAGCCCACATGCTGTACCCAGCTAGCTCAGCGTTAGCTTGCTCTGCTGCCTCCTGTCTCTCTCTCTGCTACCTTTGGACTCAGGTAACCGTGACATTCCTCAGATTCACCCCTGGGGGTCAAGAGAAACGGGAAACCCTTCCAGCTCTGCCGTCATGAATGTCTCATAACATATGGTCATGACATGGTGACAGACAACTATGAAAAAACATATTTTTTCAATAAAATGTTCCATGCTCCAGCTTTAAACACTCTCCAGAACAAACCATGATCAGTGTTACAGCAATTATTAATTCATCATATTTATGTGATGCATCTTAGAGAGTCAGTTCAGTTCACCTTCAATCAGTTCTGCTCAACTAAAGTCACTCCGACACGATAAAACACACAATTTAAAAAGACAAACTGTTGTCTGTGCACACAAAGGCTTCTAATAATAAGTATTTCTCACAGAATAGCATAAATTAAACAGAATTGAAGATCGTCACAGTTTTTGTCTGTAGTAATTAGGTCAAATGCCGGCGCCATCTTGTGACGTAATCAGGAGAAAGGAGCTGGAGGAACACCTGAGGGAAGGTACAGGAAATAAACACAGAGGAAATGAAGCAGGATCCTAACCAAAGGCTAAAGATGAACACTAAAGTATGAATCTAAACCAAAACATAGAGAACCGAACACAGAAGAATCTCAACACAAAGGAACCACTACCATTAACAACCCAAAATAATCCAAAACCAATAAAGCGACTCATGGATCATTACAGAATCTGTGGAGGGATGATGGCAGAGAGGTCTTCCAACCATTGCTACCAATCAGAAATCAATTCCTTGATTCAGTTAAAACTAAGCCTCAGATTGCATCAGTCACACCAGCCCTGTTGGGTCCGCTTTAACTCAACTCCAGACCGTCTGCCTAGAAAAGTCCCGTTCGTTTGGGGAGGCGTGAATACAGAATCGAACCAAAACAGGTTTGAACGCCAAGCGGACTGGAGACCGCTCCAAAAACAGAAAGTGCACTACAGCGCAGCGCATTCTGGATAAAAACAACCAAAATAAACGTGCTAGCCTAGCGTTAGCAACAGAAATGGCTCCTGGTCTTTAGCCAAAGACTAAATAGAAATACTCTAACCGCTAAAATCTGACGCCTCCATCTTGTTTCCATCTGGTGAAGAAGGAAGTTGCTCTCAGTGTCTTCAGAGGTTTTTGTGTCATTTCCTTCAGTGGATCTTGGTGCAGCGCCCCCACAGGCCAGGAGGGGAACAGGTAGGTTTGACTCAGAGCAGAGAGAAAGAACCACAGCAGCTGGAGGTGGAGCAGATGGTGGAGTTTGATCCTAACAGAACCGAGTCTACCGGATCAGCAGAAACATCCTGAATCTCTGAGGGTTCCGAATCATTTGGGTTAAACTGCTGAGATTTAAACTCAGATTCACTGAGGTAAAAACTCTGTTCAAACAAGCAGTAACCTGGCATGCTCACTGTGTGCGTGCGTGTGGGTGTGCGTGGGTGTGTGAGTGTGGGTGTGGTTTTCCGTAGAGCCGTGATGAAACATGGATCACGTTTTTGTTCCGGTCTGATAAATCAAAGCTTTGTGGGCTTTGATGTGGTTTTCTTTTGCAGTGAGTACTTTGGCTTTATGATGGATCTCTCTCTCTCTCTATGTGTGTGTGTGTGTGTGTTTGGGGGGAGAGCTACTGTCTGTGAAGCTCCTGCCACAGTTTGTGATGGTACGTTTATGCAGAGAGATTTGTTTATTTGTATGTCTGGGTCTTCTGATTGTTCAGTGATGAAAGATGAAAGTTTGGCTGACTGTGGCAAACATTCAGCTGCAGAGGAGGAACATCTCCAAAGCTCGTAGGGTTTCAATGTGTGGTAATGCTACCGTCACCAAACATCAGCTTACTGTCTGTCTTTCCCCACATTTCATAAGTTATAACATTTTTGGAGAACTGTATTGTTTTTTAGCCAACACTAACTAACTTTCTCCTTCAGCATGGACACCACTCAAAGTTCAACATTGACCGACTCCTGTAGATTCACCGTGTTTTGGTTTAAACTTTTTACGAGCATAGAAAATAATCCTGGTTCAGTTCTTCTGTTTCTCTGCTCTGTGGTTTCAAACCTCCAGTCGGTCGTGGCAAACGGCTGCTGGTACTGATCCAGGTTCTGCTAGAGGCTTTTCACTGTTAAAAAGGAGTTTTTTCTCTCTATTGTTGCTACATGCAGGCTCAGCATGAGGCATTGGTGTAAAGTCAATGACACAATACAAGCAACTGCTGTCGCCCCCTGCTGGTCAGGAGGAGTGAACGCTGCTAGTCAACGACTCGATGCTCTGCCGAGTTTCCTTAAAAATATTTTAAACTAATTTGAATAATAAACTGAACATAATGCACTGATTGGTAACTGGTAATCTACTGGAATTACTTTTTCTGTAAAGTGACTAGAGACATTTGTTGTGATTTGGCACTATAGAAATAAACTGAATTGATTTTAAATATAAAGTATTGATCTACAGACTTGCAGATCTTTTCTAGGCATTTTTTATATTTCTTCTATGTTTCCTTACCAGGAGGAAATCATTGCCGTTTGCAGACCAGACTAAGATGAAGTTTAACTTCTTCATCTTAAACTCTTCATCAGATGAAGTTAAACTTTTCCAGATGTTGAAAACAGGACAGCAGGATCCAATTTTCCTTTAATGTCTATAAAATGTTTCATCAAGATGGGAAATCTTGATGAAAATTTGATGTGTTTTGTAGATTATTTCATCATCAGAGTCTTATTGGATTATCCCAGCTTTGTTTTTATAAATGCTGTAATGTCAGCAGACTGCCACTAGAGGGCGCCACAGACGAGCTTTAAACTTTAGTAAACCTTTACGAAGCAACAAAGGAAGAACCACGTTGAGAAACAGTTTATACTTTTAATAAAATTGACAGAAAACTTTTTTTAATGAGCATAAAAATGTTTTTTTTTCAGCTCCAGAAAAAAGTCCAAGTTCTCCTTAAACTTGAACTCACGGGGGAACTGAACTTGTTTAATAAAAACTACAAACAGATGAAAGTTGATGTTAGATCTTACATTTTAGAAACGACATTGCTTCAGTTACATAAACTCAAACCTGGTAGAATATTTTCTTGTAATGATGATTCGTTGCAATAACTGTTTATTTCTCTTTAAGTGGAGCCACGGTTGTTAGGAAACATCTGAACGTGCCGCTATGACCATGAAAACTGTCCAGTATACAATTAATTACTAAGCATTGTTGGAAAAAGCTGAGTTCATAAGAACCCCAAACATTTACCGACTCACGCAGCATTTATCTTCTGTTCCTGACCACAGAGCTGATCCTGCAGATTATGATTAGCTTGACCTAATTTACCGGCTCTGACCTCTGCTGACCGGCTGATTTTTGGATCCAGATTAGAGCCGAACATGAACCGCAGTCAGAGTTCTTCATGTCTGGTTCTTTCCCTCTAACAGAAACACTTTTTCCAGATCTTTTTCTCTGTGAGTGCAGCATCGGTGGCCGTTTTCTGACTCTGCTGGTTCATCTGGTGCAGAATGAGGAGGAACAGAGCGGACACGATGAGGGCCACTCCGGACATGAGGAAGCCCATCCCGTAGTTCTCCATCTTGTCAATGAAGAAACCTGAACGGAAAGCAGAAAAGGGCCAGAAATAAGAAGTTTATGAGAAATTATTTAATCCTGAAATGCAAATATACCTACTGCATATTATTGCTAACAAACAGGAAAAAGGACACAGATGGAAGCTGTCCTACTTAATGAGCAGGACTTTGAAGTTTGTCTTCAAAGTCAGAGAAGTAAATAGCTTCTGTCAGACAGAGTTAAAAATAGGAAGTCATTGTCTATATTTGTAGTCTTCCAGACTCAGATTAATCTGAAATCAGTTTTACCACAAAAGAGACTAAAATAAAATATCAAAGTGTGCAGCACTTCTGAAAAAATTCAAAGCCAAAAATAAAATAAGGAGAAACTGATGAGAGGCAGGAGCGTTTCTGCAGGAAGTCCAGCTGAAAGCGGCTGAGATGACGGCTGTTGTTTGATTCAGATACTTTCTGCTCCATCAGGCCGGGATGCTCCAGGCGTAGAGTGTTTGTGCAGAAGAAGTTGACCATAAGTAATTTTTTTCTTATTAATATACAGATGATCAATTTCCAGTTGCTAAGAGTTATAAAAAGTGACTTCATAAATACAAATGAGAAAGATACTAAATATCATTGAATCTGCTCTAATAGAGCAATGAGATGCTGAGATGTTCTATTTATTATTATAGGATGTAAACAATTTTAAATTATGTTTCATCAGTTTTTTCCTGCTTCATATTTTTAAAAACCCAACCAAACTTTTACTTCTAATTAAAGGAATCGATAAGGTTAGTTGGAGGGAAAATCCATTTAGCAGCATGAGCGAACATTTAGAAAGTCAACAGCCATGAAATTAACACTGCAGCTTTTGATTATTTCAAACTGCGATCCTGTGAGACGTTTGACAGAATCATGAAGTAAAAGTCTCTGTCAGAGTTTTACTGGACGATGAAGCTAAAAGCTGGACAAAGCTTTTTATTTACTCCATCAAAATGCAATGAAATACTGTAAAAGAGTGAAGGTTTGACCAAAGTACTTTAAACATTGAACTGGAGATGTAAAGGTACACAGTAAAAAAATAACAGCAGTAATTTGGGTTATTTGGCTTGTGACAGGAAAAAAGTTCCATTTTATTTTTAAAAGTTATATTTTCACCATGTTAATTCATTTATAAACGTCAGAATTAAATTAATTAACATTTAATTAATGTTAATTCATTTAATTAACAAAAATATTTAGTTTGAAGCTAAACAACCAAACCGGTGGACGACCAAAATAAAAGCTATCTCAGAACTAAATGTTTAGCTTGCTAACTAGCTTGTTGACTAGTCTTAAGTTAGTCATCAAGCTAACTTAAAATTTAGCTTGATGACTAAGTATATAGTTTGGAGCTAAATACGTAGCTTACTAACTAGGTAACAATATTTAGCTCGATATAAAAGAGACAACCATCGGGGCTTACCAGCGACGGGCGGCCCCAGCAGGCCTCCGCTGCTGCGGATCAGCATGAAGAAGCCCAGCGCGCTGCCCAGCCGCTCCACGCCCACCACCTCCGGCAGCACCGTGATGTGGACGGCCACCGTGGCGCCGTACACCAGGCCGTGGGCGGCGCTGAACGCCACCAGCTCCGGGAAGGTGGAGGCTAGCGGGCACAGCAGCAACACGGCGCCGAGCAGAACCACGGTGGCGGTGAGCTGCTGGACCTGCTCCGAGAGAAAACAGAGCCGCGTCAACTTCCTGTCATGATGCATGAATATTTGAGTCACCGGAAGTGGATTATGAAATATTTAGCTAGCACAGAGCTAGATAAGTAGCTTGCTAACTAAACATTTAGCTTACTAATTAATTATTAAATATATATAGTAAATATTAACACATACGAACATTTTAATGTGAAGGTAAAATATGCTACAGGAAGGGTCTATATCTTCACCATGTTATTCATAAATTCAGAGCTAGCAAGCTAAATATGTAGCTAGCATATTTAGCTAGAATATTTGGATAATGTGCAAATTCACTTGCCAATAACCGGAAGAATACTGCTGTAAATAAGAGCTGGATCTTCTGAGAAAGCTACATATTTAATTTATAAATTAAATATATAACTTGCAAATTAAATATTTGGCTAGCTCAGGACTAACTAAATGCTTAGTTAGCTCAGAGCTAATTATTTAGCTTGTTAACTAAATTTTTAAATTAAAATGAAATACTTGGTTTAACTTCAGACTTAATATTTAGCTTGTAAGCTAAGCTTAGAGCTATAGATTTAGTTTGAAGATAAATATTTAGTAGTTAAATATTAAATGTTTAATATGTAATATATACATACCAAAATATTTAGCTATGAGCTAAGTATTTAGCTATAAATTAAATATTTATCTTTATAACTAAGCCTTTAGTTTGGTGCTAAACATTTAGTGTAGTTTCTGTAGGTTTACAGATAAGAAGTGATTTGAAAAAGTGCCCCCCCCCCCCCCTCCCTGATCTGTTTCTGCTTGTGTCCCATGATGCTGAGCGTACCGTCTGAATCAGCCTCAGGTTCGCCACCCAGCCGAAGAAGATTCTGCCGAAGAGGTCGAGCACCGCAGAGATGGACAGCAGGGCCGCCGCCTGGTACTCATTCAGCCCCTGGCTGCGAGCGTACGGAACCAGGAAGAGCGACGGCGCGAAGAACCCGAGCGCCGCAAACACCCCGAACATGGAGTAGACCATGAAGCGGCCATTAGTGATGAGCGTGTAATCGACATAGTGCTGGACTCTAGTCCTCAGTTGGGTCCTCTTTGGACCGGTTGAAGAGTTCCCGGTCACACTGGACGTCTCATCAGGAACTTCAACACAATCTTTCACAGTCTCCTGATCGTTCATTTCTAGGACGTTCAGCTCACTTTCCAATCGAAAGCCCCGCTTGGTTTCCTCCAGGTCTCCTTTCTGGAGGCTCTCCTCTTCTTCTTTGACCTTCCTGATAACGTTAGCATCTCTTGGGGCCCTCAGGGGCCGGAGCAGCATGCCACACACACACAAGTTGAGCTGCAGCCCCCCCAGGATGAGCAGCGCGCCCCTCCAGGAGAAGCTGTCGATCAGCAGCTGGAACAGCGGCGTGAGGCTGAACGTCAGGATGCATTCTCCAGCGCTAGCCAAGGCGTTAGCGACCGGGCGCCTCCTGTCGAAGTACAGGCCCAGCATGGTGACGGTGGGGGTCCAGGTCAGCGCATAGCCGAAACCTGCAGCAACCAAACGGATCAGGAGCCAAACCCACCAGAGCACCTCCTCATCTTTCTGTGTTTGCTTCACTCACCGTTTAGGAAACCCACAGTTATGTAGAGTTCAGTCAGACTGCGGGCCAAAGCGCCGAACACGACGGCGGCGCTGCAGATGAGGCCGCCCGAGATTACCACAGCGCGATGGCTGAAGCGCGCACTCAGAGCGGAGGAGACCGGGGCTGAAACACAGAAACGCTAACATTTAGCTTACACTTCAACAGTAGGAAGAATGCAGTGAGACTTTCTGCTCAAAGAAAATTTATTGGATTTTTCTTTTTAAAAAACAAGAAGAGAAAACTTTCAAGAGACCGAAATTAGACTTTGACAGACTCTATTTAACTCTGGGTTCAGAGACTCCTACAGAAGTCATTCACTCACAAACTTTTCACGTAGTTTGTCATCATAAACCACCACAACATGTAGTGGTGGGCAAATTTTAACTTATCTGCTAACATGCTAATCACGGAGCTAATTTTCCGAGTTAACAAGTTAGGACTTGCTAACTCGCTAAACGTTACTTTATTTCTTTTAGCAAAAAGTAGTTTGTTGAAGTGTAGTAAAATAATACTTTTAGTGTACTAAAAGTCAAATATTTTGACTGTTTTTTGCTAGAAAATTTCTGCAACTAATCTAAGATTCCTGAGATTTTTCCATCAATTCCTTTTAACTTTTCATACTTAGAAATTTTTTTAGGAAATTTCTAAGACAAATCTAAAAAAAATTGAGTTTTTGGCATACATTTACTCTTCCTTTTCTATTGACAATGGAATAAAACGTCGTCATACTTTTCTCTATTTGCAGACCTTATTGATGAAAACCTCAGTGCTCTCCTGTGTGAGGAAAGCACTGAGGACAGGAAAACGAAGGAGTAAATTCTCACCAAGAAAATTAAAAAAAGAAGAATTTTCTGAGTTTGAAAAGACAAAAAAAAAATTAGATTAATTAAACATTTCTGAGTTTTTTGGCAGAAATGTCCTTTTGCTCTTATTTTTCTGTCTTGGCCCTAATACTCCGCCGTTCTGTCCTCTATTTTCAGATGATGAAAACGTCAGAGGTTCACTGGAGGAAAGCGAGGAGCTGGCGGAGAGTTACCTGCTATGTGAATGGTCGCCACGGCGATGGAGGTGATCCATGACGTTCCTGCTGCTGTGGTTTCAAAGTACTGTTGGATCTCAACAAAAAATATACCAAAGGACTTGATCACACCGAAGGTCAGGCCGAAGACGAAGAAGCAGGAGAGCAGGATGAGCCAGGCGTAGCCGCCGTCGGGCGCTGCGGCGCCTCGCCTCTTCCCTGCCTTCTCTGGAGGATCCATGCTGACCAGCTGGGGTTTCTGCAACACTTTAACACATAAACACATTTCTTCATCTCTCGGGCAGCAGACTCATATTTTAATACATCGAGTGGAAAGTGTCCCCTTCGCACCCCTCGGCCCTTTCTGTTCCCTCTGGATGTCGCCATATGGTCAGAAGAAACTTTGAATGAAGGCCGTTAGGGACATCTGACCGCCCCACTGAGGGGGCAGAAGAAAGCGGACACCTTCTCCAACAAGCCAGGCTGCCAGCGGGCCGAGGGGCGGGACTGGACCGCCTCCAGGCTGGTATTTATAAAAGCAGCATGACCTGCGAGGACTTTCAAACTTCATTCACCTCCCGTCTGGATCTCTGAACTCACCGCAGGGTTATTACGCAATCAGATTAAATGTGAATCAGTTCACTGAGTTCTGCACAGAATCAGATCAGAAAGAATAGATTTTGAATAAAAATGAGCCCTAAGCCTCCACAGAGCTGCGATCCGAGTGTTTTCTGTCTGTTTGGAAACAAACCTGAACCCTGCAGGCTATCTCCAAAAGCTGGACGGGTTTCCCAAGCAACGGTAAGCAGAATAACAGTGTTGTTGCAGGAGTGTTTACAGAGCAGCAAGGAGCTGATTATGGGATGTTCGCTTCAAAAATATTTACATGTTTAATGTAATAACAGACTCTGAAAACAAAGTTCTGCCACAAACCATCATCATCATCACGTTCCATCCAAGAACCTCAGAAAGGAAAACGATAACAATGCCAGGGAGACAGAAGAATGGGCCTAGTCAAAGTACAGACCTAAATCTGACGGAGAGTTTGAGCCAAGACTTGAATATTTCTGTCCATACAGATTCTGCATGGAAGAATCCATAAAAAAGTTGATTTCTAGACATGCAGCACTGGTGGAAAAGACCCCAGAAGTAACGGGAGCAAAAGGCAGTTCTATACAAAGGTACACCGCACTTTTCAGATTTTTATTTATTAAAATAATAAAATGTGGATCACTTACTTCCATTTCACAAATATGAGCAGCCTTCTATTGGTTTGTCACATAAAATCTCAATAAAGCTTGAATATGGTAAAATTCAGCAGGTTTGAGTCATTTTTACTCTGAGTTTCATGTAAACCTGCTGCTGTTGTAATTACCGTCCTGCACAGTAGAGATTCAATCTGTCATTATTTAAATGTTTTTTCTTCCTTTCCTGGGTGTTTCTCTTTTGAAGCAGATCTAAATTTTCCAGCAGGAACAATCTGAACTCTTCCATTGCCAGTTAATTTTCAGACAAGCTAAAAACGCGGCGGTGTAAACAGGAAGTGGATTCTGCTGAAGCAGCGAAACGTAGCGAGAGGAAACAATCTTTTCAAACTAAAACGTCTTTATTTATGCCAGGTGAATCATTAACCGCTGCTAAGGCTCTTAGACGCTTTAAATAGACAATTAAGCTAAATAGATACCACGACGAGAATTATTGACCAAATTAAAGGATAAAATCGGAGGATCTGATTGGTCCAGGTGTTCCTTCCAGAACCTGCCGGTACCAGACGGGTTACTGCTGGTTCTGGAGGTTCTACAAACAGATACTTTGAATACTTTCTAGACTAGGATTAAAGGCTCAGGTTATCCTGTCATCAAGTTGCTGGAGGACAAACGTTCTTCTCTCCACTTTGCATCTTTTGTTATTTAAACTTGATGTTTTCTGTTGTTTCTCTGAAGCTCCACCTGCTCTGACTTCTGTTTGCTGCTTCAGCTCATCGTTCTTCCTGTTAACATTTTACTTCTCTAACATAGAAAGTTCTCCTGGTTCAGTTCTTCTGTTCCTGTCTGCTCTGACTTCTCTGACCTCCAGTCGGTCGAGGCGGACGGCCACTGGTACTGACCTGTGTTCTGGTTCTGCTGGAGGTTTCTTCCCGCTAAAGGGGAGTTTTTCCTCTCCACTGTCGCCCTGTGCATGCTGGCTATGAGGAATTGCTGTAAAGTTTTACATAATTGCCCAATTTGACATTTCAAAAATAGATTTTCTTAATGGAAATGCAGCAATTAAAGAAAACTAATTTTTTGAAGAAGGTTTTGGCACTAGAGCAGATTTATTTCACAAAACTGCAGTGGGAGCCCTCATGATCAACGACCGGATGTTTCCACTGGCAAAACCATGAAGAAGAAGAAGACAGGAAGCAGTTAAAGGATGACGGCGCCGCATGTTTTCTAATGACTTCTCACATGAACAGTCTTATTTGCAGCTGATTTTAATTTAGTTTCGTATTTAATGGAAATGCTGTAATTACACAATCGTTTTATTTTATTTTTTTTATTTTTTTTTACATCATCACAATATAAACAAAATTTAGACTCGATGCTCTGCTGGGTTTCTTTAGATAGAAACTTTTTAAACTAATTTAAATAATGAACTAAACCTAATGCACTGACTGGAATGACTTTTTATTTCGCGAAGTGCCTCAAGACGTTTGTTGTGAATTTGCTCTATAGAAATAAACTGAACTGAAAATGCTGAGGTGCACAATCAGATTTATATAGAGAAATAAAAGAGATGAAAGAGAACAACTAAGGTTAAACTTTGAATGCACAGAATTTAAACTGATTGGAGAGATTTATACTGTATACTAACTGGTTTTGTCGTTACCTGCGGCGATGGGTCACTTGGCGGCCATTTTGCTCCTGCAGCAGTCAGCTCTCCAGGTTCGGTGTTGGTCCGTCCGGCTCCGCTAACAGAGACGTCTCTCACCCAGGAAGCTGCAACATGTCAGCCGACAGCAACAACTCGGTTAAATAAAATGCTGATGTAACATGTGAGCCAAGTCTGACCTTTGAACCCCATTTTTCCCAGGATTCCCGGGTCTGTCGACATGCAGGCGAAGGTCAAAGTCCCACCAGATGCTGGGTAAACTTGGGTGACTCCGGCAGTGTGTGATTCACGATCTACATCAAGAGAAAGAGGTTTTATCATCTGTGACAGCTCCAAATTAAAAGTTTAACCTCATCATTAAGGTCAACCTTTACACTGCAAAACACTAAATCTAACCAAGTATGTTTGGTCTAGTTTATGGTGCAACTATTTGAGTATACTTCAAATAAGATAAATTTAACTTAAAAGTATATTTTCAGCTAGATGTAGGAGATTGAGGTCTGTAATTGATGAGGTACTAAAATGGAAACTATCTTATTGTAAGTGAAAAAAATCTGCCAATGAAACCAATAATTATCAATATTAAGGAATTATTGACCTAATTTGAAAAGTTATTTGAAAGCTGATTTTGTCTTTTTTCAAGTACATTGAGATATAAAACCAACAAAAACACTTTTGTGTTTTTACAGTGTAAAGAGCCATTTTTCCCCAGTTCAGGTAAATAAAACAGATTTAGTCAGTTTAGATTTCCTTTTTGCTTCTCCTTTCAAAAGAAGATCAGTTTCACATCAGTTCAAAATGCTAAAAAATAGATTAATAAACACGAAAACAAAGATTAAAGCTTCAGAATGTTTTAGTTAGGTTTCTGAAACACACAATATAGTTACAGTTAGTTATAGTTTTTCACCATTAATTACCGGTTTTATTTATTTCAGATAACTAAAATGTTTTCAGTTTTGGTTATTTTTATTAGTTATTAGTTTTAGTTCATAACCTTGGTCAGGATTTTTCCTGTTTTCTTTCAGAGCCTGAAAATCATGAACATGTTTTGTGATCTGAACTATTAATCCAGATTTTCATGGAAACTGAAGGTTCATGGCCTTCCTCTCATGTTTACGTTCATTTGTAAGACATTAACTCGGATCAGGAACTTCCTGCTGTCGGAGCGTCACAGTTCACCGAGGAAACTGACAACAAACACCTGTTTTCTACCAGGTTGGTGAGTTTATGAGAAGTTCAGAGGTTTGGGGCAAAGTTTGGAGGTAAACCCGAGTCAGCAGCTTCACGTTGTTCTTTATGCTCCGCTGATCATATTAAATATTGACTCAATTCTGTGTTATTATCTATCCCGAGCCCTCAGAAACTCCTGGGAACGAGCTTTGCATGCTGCTGTGGAGCCGGCCACAGCAGGACGTTTCCACCCAAACTTTTCACTCTGACCAGAGGAAGCGGTCCAGTTCTGCAGCTCAGAACCGGGCCAGAGGGACCGGGCCGTAAGGCAGGCTGTACGTCACATGTGTGGAATTAAATGATAGTTTTCAAAGCGTCTGCAGACTTTTACAGCATTGACGTTCTCACAGAAGCCATTATTGCTATTGGATTTTATTATCTGGATGAATGAACGTCCAAAAGAAAAATTGGATTTCAGCAGAACATCAGACCTGAGCATCAATCCTCATGTCTCTCTCTCTCTTTGTTAAGAAGATACTTACCAGACCAAAAAACGGCGTTATGGAGGTTTTAACAGTGACTTTATGTCTCAGTATTCATCAGTCTGGCCTCAGATTAGCTGTTAGATCTCAGAGAAACTCGACACAGAAATATGAGGAAAGCAGGACAAAATAATTCATCCTCCTTCTCTGCATTGTTCAGAACAATGTGGATGTTTCCATGCTGCATTAAACCGTTTTGCTTTTGATGCAGGTGCAGTACAGAAACACTTTGACAGATGTCTGAACCAATTAAAGATTTATGGGTAACAGTGATAGGTGGAGAAACAAAGATGCTTCTAATAATGAATCATTTCATCAGAGGCGACATTCACACTTTCAGTTAAATTAATTGATTTTTTCTGTGGTTGTTCACGTTTACAAATATAGACAACTTATAAGTGATCTCCTGTGTGAAACCTAAAGCTTTCTGACGTTGCCTTGGAGACGGTATTTTAATGTGCACATGTGGAAAACAGCACAAGAGAAAACTACCAACAGAAAACACATTTAACTTCCGTGTCTCTGCTGAAGGAAAACATTTGGACTCATTTTGGTCATCAAAACCAAACCTGAGTTTTGATGCAACACGTCACACTGACATGCTGCAGGATGAAATAAACCAAACAGGCCGACTGTATTAGGCCCCAACCTGATCATTACTGTGAACACTAACAAGCCAGGGTGTGTGTGTGTGTGTGTGTGTGTGTGTGTGTGTGTGTGTGTGTGTGTGTGTGAGTCACCATCAGGCTCCTCATTGTGTGATGATCCAAGGTCATGATTAAAGAACAGTGAGGCGTTAATCAGAGCCGGCTGGACGTCGTCTGCTGAATTATCGTATTTTACAGATTATCTTCGTTTTGTTTTCTGTTCTTGTGATTCTTTATCACAGTTATATCTCTTTTTTAGTAAGTTTATTGAATCATTTCTAACTGAATCAAAATTTTCTGTGATATTTCTAGAGAGCAGCTGAAACACCAGCCTTTCACCAGTTTCTACATCAGTCTGTTTAAAGTTGAGTTTTGAATACAAGAATTGCTTCTCAGCTCAACAGAAGGTGAAACCTTCTGGAGGTGAAACATTGGTTGCATGAGATATTATATTAAAACACCAGAAGAAGAAGAATATGGAGGGAGAACAGATCCTTTCACAGATGGAAGGTTCTGGAGAACGGCCCATTATTACCTCGGCTGCAGGAGGAAAATAACATTGGGACCGCCTCGACCCGACGTCCTCTCCCTCTGGTACCGCAGAACAGTAAAAGTCTTTCTGCTAACAATCACCACCGTTAGGGGCAACAGGAAGGAAGGTTATTGTTTCAAATCGCAGGTGAAGGACATCATGTTGGTGCAACGCTAAAAATCACCAAATCATAATAACACCAGATACGCTGTAAGCATTTTAACTCTTCAGGGATCAGAATAAAGCCATTCTGCAATATTCTGCAAAAACAAAACGAGCCACTATATTTATAGACAGACGAGACTACATTAACTTTTATCTACATTTTTATTTTATCTTATGATAGACCAATACAGACAGCGTCAGTGCAGAGTAAAAGCAAAATGATATTTTCTTTTATTCTTTTCAAGTGAAAACTGAAAATTGTTCCACCTTTACTCCGATACCCTTTACTAAAACTGAACCAACAGATTATCTCAGCTGTCCCTCATCAGTACATTGTTTAATTTAATCTCAGTTCTAATCCAGATGTTCTGGTTCTGCTCTCTGAAATCAGAGGAACCCAACAGAATCTGAACAAATACATTTTACACATCAGTCTTCTATGGATCACAAGGGTCCAGTTAATCTACTCCAGCAAAATATTTGGTCCACAACAAGTTTCACGTCTCCAATCCAACATAATCTGCAGCTTTAAAATTCCCTTCAGATGAAATGTCTAACAAACCTTTCATCATAAAGGTCACAGGAAATTTAAGGGGCTAATTTTCTAGAACTAATTTTAATCCATTCTGTAAGTTTCTCTGGTTCCATCATTCACTGAACATTATTTCTGTCCTCTTGTTCAAGCTTTGTTAGCGCTCATTGTTAATAACGGATGCCTTGCTTCGCTCATGTTGAGATGAACTTTCTGTTTTCAGATAACTGGAGCTGCCAGAGAGAAACCATCGTGACTAACAGAGCTGATCTGAATCCAAACGCATCATGCTTCCTGTTACAGAGCTAAAAATTTCCCTGGCTTCAGATGTTTTCAGATAAAGAGACTCAGTCCGCCTCTTTTATCTGCCTGATAGCTAATCCATGCAGCCTCTCCTCGTTTCTCAGATTATAGCGCTCTAGCTTCACTTCTTCTGCATTTCTACCAAACTTACACATCTTCCCCTGAACACTAACTGTTTTCCTTTGTTCTCCTCTTAATTGGTGCTGCAGGAGCGTCACAACATCTGGACTGAAGTGTCAGGCTCCCATTTCACTTCCTTAAATTGGCCGTTCCTGCTTTTCTGTCAGACTCATTGAACTGAGTAAATTCTTCATTTCGGTTTAAGCCTCCTGCTCTCGATCCAAATGGTCTCTGTAGGGATTTCAGTTCTGACAGTCAGTGTCTGTGTGGTTTAATTGGATCCTGGTCTAATCAGGAATCTAGCGGTGTGCGTCCAGTGCAAAGCCAGCAGAGGAGAGCAAACACTGATCGTATCTCACAACAAGGAGAGGAAACGAAGAACGTCTAGGACAAAACGAGCCGGGCTGCACACGATTCCCGATAAAACCATAAAACATGAGACGAGAAAATCTGATTTTTTGCTTTGGAAAATAAATCAATCCTGCAATCAAAAAATGTTTTTTATGATTTAAATTTCACCAATTAGCACCATATTAGTTTAACATCAGATTATTAAATATTTACTTAACGAGCTAGCTAAATATTT